CTTAATTCGTATACTGATATATATATATATATATTTGTGACAAAATTTTAATAAAGATAACTTACGCAGTATCTACTCAGTTTTTAAAAATAGATTTCGAGTATGATATAATATATGATAGTAAGAATAAATTGTAAACTGGGATTAAAATAGCGTTGCTACGTTTAATTTCTACTAAGGAAGGCTGTTAACAGCATCGCTCGTTACAATACCAAGCTAACGAACACCAAGTAACTTGACTTTAAACTCTCCGGGATCCAATGTGAACTGCCAATGACGAACTGACGATGTTAAACTTATAAACGACACTAATGAAATCTACTTACATATCACATGGTACGCGATTGCCATGTGAACATGCCACGCTTAAAACCTCCGACGTTATCATCTGTATCTACATAATAACCCTTAAACTAAAGGTGCAAAATATTTACTTACGTTACGTTAATCTCCCTAAGAGCAGTCAATTCGAATTGATCTACAAAAAGTACAAACAATAAATAAAACTAGCACGTAAAAATACATAGATACATTTAGTACAAGTACCTAAATCTATTGTAATTTGTATATTGTTATAAAACGAAAGTGCAGGTACTGCATATGGAGAATTAAGCGTATCCGATACATTATTATACTACTATTCGCGCGTAACACCGCGGCCGGCGGTCAACACATACACTTAATTACATAACACGTTTATTGTCTTGGAATTTCAACGAAAACCGAATCTAGGCTGAACAGCTCCAGACTAATGGCATAAACACTAGATAGGTACTCAATTATAATAGAAAAAGTCAATGTATGAGATTGACATTTACAAACGTCAAATTTGACGTAAGCTTATGTCAATCTCACATTTTTATTACATTCTATTTGACTAGCGTTTACGCCATATGTCTAATGAGAAAGTACGTTCGACGAAGATCAGCGTGACATCTTAGAAAGCGAATAAAAATGTTTCGATGTTTATTTTCAGTCCACGCTTACACTATAATCGATAAAGCAACTGAGTCGATTCAAGAACGATTTTATTACCGACAAATCGCTTGTCCGTGCTGTGATTTGGAATATGCACTTCGCGATATTTTAGTACGTACTAAGTTACAGCCTTTACAAGCTTTTATTTCATAGGTACTCTTTATCTTGTGTGCATTATGTACTTTCAAGTACCCGAATGCCAACAGATACGACAGAGACAGCAATATACTTCTGTCCTTGTCTTCGGAATCAGTCTACGACACGAAAACGCACAGAATAATCGGCCGCGGTAATACAACTCTACACTAGCGAACGGTAAATTTATATTGAACCTATACTTTAAAAATATACAATCTTACGCGCATTGTCTAATCAAATGTATGGAATAATCATGTTTAACTTTGTATACAAAATGTTACATTATTATGTACGAGTATGTATATAACACTTAAAGAAGCTGAAACTATTACATGAAAATTGTTACTTAAACGCACTTAATGAACTGAAGTGACCATTCGTCGAGACAAATAACAAATTAAAACTTAAATTACACCAATTTCAACCGATTTCAATACTAGCAAAATATATTTGAAACAGAATCGCTTCTCAGCCATATACAATCACATAAGATTTTATTTAGGAACATAACGAATTTACAAAAATATTCTCTTTATTTGGTTCTGTTTGTAGCACTATTTTTCTTTTGACGGTACAACAAATTGGGACAAACGTTTCTAGTTTGTTCTAGTTATGATATGAGGGCAGAGGCGATCTCTGTCACTATTGTTACTCTAGCATATCATTCAACATTTTAATGTCCAGTCTATATTGCTTTTATTTACATAATATTAATAGCAAGACTCCTTCAGAGCCTGCGGTACTACAACATCGATCGACACTTTCTAAACTTATAAAGATTATTGTAGGTTTAAATACGGCAGACATCGATTTTATAGCTCAGTGGGCACTTTACGGTTTATCGCAGTTAATGACAACTAGCGTTTTAAGACTATTATTTAATTTGATATTTAACGTTGCGTTTTCCTAGGAATTCTCAGACAAAGATCCATCCACACACACACAACTATCTATGACTCTCTACACAAATTCCTAACTCCACTACAGACATACTCAGTTACATTATACGCAGGCCGCATGCTTTACAATTTACTAAAGAATTATTACTAGTAATTAAATTTGTACTAAGCGAAGTCAAAGGCGGCTTTTACAATAAAATATTAATTATAAATGCTCATTGCCGTCTTACATCTGTCGTTCATTATTCCTATTGCTTGATATTGGTGTTATGAAGTCAAATCACATGTAAGGAGATAGATACGTCTAAACATTTATATTAAAAACTGACTTATATTTATATAACAACACGACACTTTATATTAATTTTTAAACAACTTTTTTTAGTACAAAGTTTTCGATTAAATTTTATTACTCTGTGTTCGATTTTAAATGGCAACACTGAACGTGGTGTTGCCATTTTGAAAGGGTTTAAAAATCCCTGACTATATACCTAATGTTAGATAAGTGTTTTGATATACTTGAGAGGTTACATAAAGTTATGTATCAACTTACATATTTAATCGACTTACATAAAAGTAGGAATTTTAATGTCATATTCAGTTTAATAGGACAATATACCAAGGCCTATATCTATTGAGTTATTTCGAATAATTCTTGAATATTTATTATGATGCTAACTACACAATAAATAGTTAATTACATCATTTGCTTATGTATAAAAGACGATATTGTTATAAATATGATTATAATACGCCACTGCGTACTCCACGCACAAAAATACTTGCGTTTGACCAAAGATGAACTTTAAGGATAAAGGTATAAGATTCACAATCGTGGATGGATAAATTGTGAGGTGTGAAGGGCAAGAAAGGTCATGTATGATCAAACACAAACATTTTCGACCGCACAAAGCCGGGAACAAGCGTATAGAGACTTATTAGCGTTTACTTAAAGTCAGATTTTTTTTTTTTGCAATCCTTACACCGTTCCATACACAATGTACGTAAATCTAATAACACAAGTCGAACAGAAACTTGATAAATTATTTTTTAATAAGATTATAAGTCTCTATTCGCCTGTTCAAGGCTACATGGAAAGCATAACATTTTCTCACACCACAAACATCGTTAGAAATAAGAACATTCACTCACATGCGGTATATCAAATAAACTGAGTATAATGTAAACGAGCCACTCTTTATCAAACTCTATATAAAAGGATAGACGTAGCTAGGATACTTGGGGGTAATCAAAGTACTGTGATCATTGTCAAACCAGCCAGAAGATGCCTTCTACTGAACATAAGTCTCGGAATAATTACTTCCCGTTTCCGTTTCGAAAGGTCAAGGTTATGCAGAGTGGTATGGAAAGGGCTATACTTGGTGATTTTTTAGGAGATCGAGTCAGATTGATAATGTCATAAAGGAAACGAATGAAAGTAATACATAGCCCAGCGGATTGGCTGAAATACAACTGTATAAAACACATAGCATTGTGGGGCAACATTTAAATAAAAAAATAACACAAAGAACCGGCTAATAATTAGGATTTGATTGATTGCCCATCTTTTAAAGATTGATTACTAAGAATGAGGATTAATTACGAATTTTAAACTTCTGATAGCTAGAGGAGCAAATGCTTCACTAGCGCCATCTAGGGAGTGCGAAATGATGCATTTATACCAAAGTATTGATTCCAATAACTTTAAAAGAAGTAAAAGGGCTGTTATCGTATTAAAAAAGCCAAAATACCATAGCTACGTCATCTAATACCATGCTCAAACATTGCCATACGGAATCCATTCAATTCAAATCACCTACATCATAATAATTTACCTAAACTACAAATTCTAATGAAGGCAGAACAATGTTGCAAATGCTTTCACAATGCTATGTTTCAAACAAACTTTGTGGCATTAGTTTTTCAAACTATTTTTTTTTTATTGACTACTGTTTTGCTGAACTTTGTTATGTTAATAAGGCGTTTTATCGTTTGCGCTTCTTCTTTTAACAGTAGGCCTAACATGACGTGTTAAAGCATGAATCCTCCGGGCGAAAAAGAGGGATGGAGCTATAAAAGGTGTATAGCTCCATCCCTCTTTCTCGCCCGGAAGACAGCTTCAAAAGGTCGTGGTAGGCCCTCAGCTTTTTTATGAGGAAGAAAGTCTGCAAATAACTTATGTCGCTTTGGATAGGACGAATGTCAGACTATTACTGACTAAAAACCTCCCCGTTCCTTCTGCTTATTGCGCTTGACCCGCAACCCGGGCCGATAATCAGCCTTTTTGGTCTCCATTAGGAGATTAAAGGTTGGAAAGAAATAAAGGTGTATAACGAATTATCTGTTTTCTAGAACTAATGGTGACAGACTGATTTTTTTAAATTTCGGACGCCCAATAAAAGATTTCTTTTTTTAGTTATTTATATACGAAAAAAAGTTTGGAAGCAGTAGTGGACCGCTAGTAGATTACAAAAATATATTTTTATATGAATTGCCCGGGTCAAGTAATTTCTAAACAAAGACACTGGACAATCGCAAAAGATGATATTATTTATAAGTGGTATTGCTTTTAAAATAGCATGAATATAATTATAAACTTTGAGGGATGGTATAATATGGAAGAAAGGTGGAAGAATTTTAGTTAGCTATGTATTTAGTCAATCACATTATTTGGTGTACAATTAAAAAAATAAATATTGGATTCGGTACAGAAAGTGTAACCATTAGTCTCTATTTTTTTTTTACGTACCTACCAAGTAGTTTGGCTGACTGTACACACTTATAGCAATAAAGCGTAGGCTGTAAGGTTTTTGTCTTTACAAGGAAAAAAATTGTTATATTTTTTTTATATTATTATTTCTTCTTTTAGTACACTTTTTAGGGTTTTTCAATAGTCAGATAAATGTTATCTGAGGAATAAAATTGTCACTGTCTTACGCTACAGCATTATAATTATTCCCCAGGCAACTTTTATCTGAACATTGAAAAATCGGCCCTTAATAATATTAATAGAAGAAATATTGTTGCAAATGTTATCGATTTGAAGTAGGTTTTATCAGATGAAATAAATGAATACTATTGGTTAGTTTTGAGAATGTCAAAGATAGGAATGACGGGACGTAAAGCGCAAGTGGCGCCAACTGGTGTATAAAAACGATAAACCTTCGGAAAGAGAAATGGAGGCATTATTATTTCACCATTTTTTTACCTCATTAAATAACGTTCGTTTTAAAAAAATACAATTATTAATTATGTAATTATGTACCTTATTAGCAATTGTTAAGACGTTTATCTAGCCACTTGTTTGAACACAAAATTGTTCTCTGGATTAAATAATGCCAACGAAATAACTTTAGCAATCAATATTGTGATAAGAATTATTTAAGACGTCATACTTTACTATTGATAATTCTACTTGAACGAACTTCGCCAAACGATTTGCTACCTTATGTAACCAACTTTTGATTCGAAATTCCCTTGCATCCACAATATTGATTCTAAAGTAACAAAAACTGATCATTCGAATCACGAACCACTCAAATATCTTCGCTTACACAACGCTACACATGCACACATACAAAAATTAAAGCATGAAGAAAAATATTCCCACCTCTTGAGACTATGAATATCGAATTTGTTCCTAATGTTTATAGTACATAGAGTTTATTATAGCTTAAAATAAGACGTTTAAAGTTACTGTGTTATGAGGGCACGCGCGATGACATCTCCATCGGTAGCGACGTGGCGACCTGCATCTGGAACAATTTGTACTTCGGAACTTAAAAAAAACTGCCTACACAATCTGTATATAGGGTGACTGGTAATTAGTGACTGATTTTTAAACACGTGATTGTACTTATGATAACAAACAACTTTCCCAAAGAAACTAAACTATATTTGTATGCAAAGTTCAAACGACGTCGCCCGAGGCCTCGCCGCTAACAGCTAATCGGGCGATGCAGGGCGGGCGCACGAAGTCTTTTTATATTTCAATAAGACATATTTAATAAAAAAAAAATACTTTTAATTTGAAACAAAAAAGGTTCGTAGGACCAAACGCCTCACTAGCGCCATCTGAAGTATCTTATATATAAAAATGGATCGCAAAATGTGTTGGTAAGCGCATAACTCAATAACGACTGGACCAATTTTGCTAATTATATTTTATGTTTGTTATTGTCAGGAGATGATTCTTATCGAAGAAAATATTAGAAAAGTAGAGGAAAATTGGGAAAAAGTGACCCATTGATAGCGAGATAGTTGGACCCGCGCGAAGCGGGGGCGGGCCGCTAGTATAAAATACAAATAATTAAAAATCTTACCTTGTTCTTAGCGTAGTGCGAGTGCGGGGAGTGCGTGAACACGCAATCAGCGATGGAGTCCAGTGTTCGCTCGTCCAACACTCGCTCGTCCAAGACCCGCTCATCCAACACTCGTTCATCTAACACTGCTTCAAGCGCTGCGGCTAACTCTGAACTCTCCGCGAATGCTGCTCCACCTTCCGCTAAAAATATGCATACATTAAATTTTTACTATTCTACTAATTCTACAATCCTACAATTCTACCAATCCTACTCTACTATAATTTTATAAATACCTTAGTTTGTAAGAACGTATGTATGTTTGTTAATCTCTCATCTGAATTAAATTTGACACTGAAAAATATTATAGTCTAGCTATTTGTATTTCCCTGCAGATGCGGACAAAAGGGCTGACAGAAGTTTTAAGAGCACATTATGGTAGAAAAAATCCATGTTAATTTTAGTAGTAAGTAGGTACCTTGATTGAAAAATTCCGTGAACGCTTCATCTGGTATTTGACTGAGCACAGCAGGATCCAGTATGTCATCCGGTGGTACTTGGCCGACTTCTACTTCTGAAAACCAACAAATTCATGAAACAGGGCACAGAAAATTCGGATTCGGACGGATTTCCTGATGGCAAGCAATCGGCGCGGCCCAAGGACAACCGCAACACCAGTGGAGTTTAAGAGACCGTTTACGGCTTTTTGGGAGTTTGGAGATTTAGGAAATGAAAACTTTCCTCACAAGCTAAACTACCACACTTAAGTATGGATGATTGTCGCTATATCAAGTAAAAACTACTATACAGATCTGACTGAAATTAAGCGTGAAGATAGATTGTATTCTGGAATTACGTATAGGCTACTTTTGACGAAGCTGCTGGCAGAAACTAGTATATAATCAAATAAAGACTTCAAAGATGTGGTTTCACCGCACCAGAACCCAAACACTTTTAAGAAGCTTTCTAGTTAAGAAAGCTTTTAAGAAAGCTGTCTTTTGGGACTATCACTAACAAAATTACTGAAAAAATATTACCAAACTTAAATACTAGTATTTATAATATAGTTTAACGTTCAAAGGTGCCTGTAAGTGTCTGATTGAAATATATAATTTTGACTTTTTATAGATTGTAAAATCTTAAATGTAGTTTTAATACAATCCATATTTAATAAAACAAAGAATTTATTTTTGGAAATAGGCCATAAAACGGCACTTTTACACGTCAAAGCTTTTTATACTAACTATTTAAGTTATTTTACTTACCCATCTCATGAGAATCGCTGGCTACGGCAACGTACTCGCTCTCACTGAGCGCCCCCATGGCCGCCTCTTCTGAACTATCGTACGTTGACGAGTTCGAACACACGTTCAGCTCTGAAGATATAGATATAAATACTTAGTCAGTACTTCATCGTGAAAATAATAAAAAAACTACTGAAATTCCTTTTCCCTAAGTAATTTTACTTGAGCATCTTAAGTGACACTACTTTCTACAAAATGAATTCTTGAATTATATTTTTGAAAAGTTCTGCTGTTAGCTAATATATCCGCTGTTCCGCTCCTATAGATCGTAGCGTGATGGTTTATAGCCTATATCACTCAGGAACATTGTAGCTATCTATCAGTGAAAGAATTTTGGAAATCCGACCAGCGGTTCCAAAGATTACCCCCTACATACAAACTTACAAATTTTACCTCTTTATAATATTTGTATAGATTTATATTATAAGATAAATGATTTTATTAAAGATTCAAGACTAAATTTTTATTTCATTATTTATTGAACAGCACATCAGTGAACACACTTTGACCTTGAGACCGCCTCTATTCCCTATGTCAAAAGAGCTGTTTTCGTAGTTCAAATGGGTACACTGATGTGCGGATGACTGTGCACAGTCAGGACAAATCAAAACGGTAAATAAAAATCAAACAAGTATGAGTCCATAAGGAAAACCAATCTATTTTTCATCACCATTTCAAAATGTTACTGTTAGTTTAGCATTAAACAAAACAAAATGAATTGAAAAAAAAAACTCAAAATCGAATTTTAAATCCAGTTTCCAAAAACAAAAAAATATCTCAGCCTCTTCCGGGAATAAAAAAAACTTATTATTTTACTTTTATTGTACGTATATTATACGTACCAGAGAGTGATTGTTCACCAGTGAGCGAGTCTGCAGTAGGGGGGCGGAGTCGCGCGGGGGGGCGGCGCCTGCGCTTGGCGCGTCGCGGGCCGCGGGGTACGGGGGGACAGGGCCGCTTGCGAGCTACCTTCTTAGGCCTGCAGTCGCGGGCTAGCTTGTCGTAGTTATCCTGTGAAATACATACGTACTATTTAAATATAAGTTACTTGAGTATAGTATCATGTCATATAGACAAAAAGTTTACCGGAACCACGGTACTTGTCGCTTGTCGTAAAAACCTAATAAAAAAAAAATATAAAATCAAATTCCAAGCGAACTACCTCTTGTCTTACTATAGTGTCTCTAATTACCACGATTGAAACTTTAATGATACGAATCTTATAAAGTCTCAATAGAGTCTTTAATTCCGTCTTTGATCACAGTCATGATCGTAAGAAGAAGTGTATGTCCTTAACCACCATTAGTAACGCTTGTTACAGACACAAGAAATTTATGAGAAGTTTTATGACAATGGGTTAATGTCGCTGTCACTAACCGAACATAACTTAAATGACTCAATAATCATACTAAAAAAAAATATACATACCCGTTTCCAAGCATGTTCAGCGCACAAAGGCGTATGATCGGAGAGTGGCAGTAGGGGCTGGTTACAGCGTGCCCCGCCCGCGAAGACGGCCCCGCAGGCGGCGTATAAGCGCTGTTCAGGCGCGCGAGTCACGTGCGCCAGGCAGTACCGCGCGCAAGGCAACGCTGGCTGTTCACAGCGCTCCCATACACACGAACTACCACTAGACGTTATTGTGCCACCTTCACGGACTGATGCCTCCCCACCTGACCAGCCTGATTGCCTGGTAAATTACGTGAAAAGTTTATGAACGGACCTTATAATAATCAACGGTGTGTATATGTGACATTGGAGAAAAACGATAAAAAAAATTGGAAAAAAGGGGTTTCAATTTGACAATTGTAGTAGTATCTTTAATACTAGATTAAAAGACATACTTATACAAAAATATTATACTTTAATATCACTTTGTTCGTGGATTATTCCCATACGGTCGGTACAAGTCTTTGTGAGATATAAAAATGGGTATTACGGGTCTGAATGTGTGAAAACAAATTCGTGTTTTTTTTTTTATTATACTTACTTAAAAACTACCGGTTTAAAAAAAATTAAAAGAAAATAATAATAATATGAGAAAAATCCAATGTAAGATCACGTTTTGCCTTCCATTTTTGACAACTTGAATTCCTACTTATTCTAAAAAGAAAAATTAGAATAAAGGCTTTGGTAGTTCCTACAGTCAGCATAGTTTGGGTGCCTACGCTACCAACTTTCAAGATACATACCTTAGTATTCTACGTTCTTGCGAGGTTAATACGGATGGCATGCCGCGTAATGCAAGTAGATGGTTGACAGTCTGTGTTGGAAGACGACCTGATGATCCTGGCCTGTTCAGCTGTTTCTGTAAACGTATATTATAAATATTAGAGACTAGCTAACCCGGCAAACATCGTTCCGTCTTAAAATTAACTAAATGTTTTCTGATCTTTTATTTAAACTATTCCTGGGATTCCACGAATATTTCAAACCAAAATTAGCCAAATAGGAGCAGCAGTTTCAGAGATTTAGTGAGACTAACGAGCAACTTTTCATTTTTATATATTAGATTAACAAATCCCCAAAGATTAGCACCAACATTGAAATTTTCGGTGACCTAACTGGCCAACTAGGATCTCTATGTTGCCTGCGAAGACTGGGAGAAACAGAAAAGTGCACATGGTATAAATCCATCAGCTGTAGATTATGTTTTATTGTAACCCGTCTTGAGTAAAAGATACCTTCTGAATTCAAAAAAGAAAAGAATAGGGAGATATTAATACATTGCAACATTTTGACAAAGTATTTTAATAAAGACATGACGTCATTGTCCCGTTACGTTCATTGTCACGTACCGCAAGCGAGGGAGCAGCACAAACGAGAGACATGATCACCGGTTGCCTCTCGAGCGTGATCGCCGAAGGAGTCACGGACCAATCTGAGCTGATGCTCAGTTTGGTCCGTGACTCCTTCTATGTATTAATGTTTGACGGTTTCACCAAAACTACCGTTCTTGAACCGAATTAACAGACATCAAATTTTTTGATGTTAGGTCCGGTCAGGGAAAAAAATAGGATCGTAGTATATGTTCCATATCATAAATCGCGTTGACCTTAAGTAACTTGTAATAAGGACTAAAATACAACGATGAAATAGGATAAAACCTACCTTGAGTAGCGAGGCGAGTGCACGATGATGCTTATGGTGCGCAGCGAGGGCCAGTGCGTCGTGCGCACGCGCAACGTGACGCCGCAACGCCGCGCGACGCAGTGCCAATCGCGCGCCGCGAGATTCCGCAGCACTCTCTTCCACGCAAGCTGACACGCAACCTGCTTCTGCTGTTTAAAATAATAGAATTATGAGCAGTTTCTATAAATTTTCATTTTTTTTAATTTTTTTTTTTATTAATTTAACGGCCATCGCTGAAAATCAGCGCCGCGACACTGTCTCGTATGGGGTCTATGCATAATGGTGAGCGAGGGCCATTTCGCGTGCTTGGACGCATATTTTTCTCCTACCCTCTACTTTTGATTTACCATGCTTTATGTATTTTTAGTTTTACCTTTAAGTCCCAGAAGCGAATAAATACTTTTTATTTTGTTTTTTTAACACATTCAGTGCCACGCCCACTCGCCCTGATAGTCCACATAAATTTTATTCCAGCGCCGTGGACTCGCCCGGCGAGTTCAACGTTTAACGTTGAGACGTACGAGAAATGTAGGCGGCATCCGATATATTATTGAGAAAATTGTAGTGGTAATGAAAGTGTTAAAAAAGTATATAGTTCTTTCAAGGGTTTGATCACCAAACGAAATGTAATTATTTTGAGCAAGAATTTTTTACATACTTAATCTATTATATTGGGATTATACTAATAAAAAAAAGTTCAATAGTGGTAATTCGGAACACAATTGAAAAACAATATGTGCGCAAACGAAGATGTTCGCTGAGGTTTGATGAATTAATTAAAGAAATCTCGAAATTAGAGAATACAAACCATAAGGAAAAGTTCAACAAATAAAAACTAAAACGTTACTTTGCAATTGTAATATAAACGACGATGACATCTACAAAAAAAATATACCGAGAGGACATTTTTTGTCCCGAAAATTTAAATGTATTGAGAGTTTAAAGGTCAGGCGAACAAAGAAAGAGACAATATTAACTGAATACATTGTGAAGAAACCGATTACCATAAAAAAAATATATCTGCACTTTGCTTTGTTCGCTGAAAGGGCCAGTAGAACACCAGTGCAGGGCCCTGTCTGTCACAAGCTGAACTGTCGCCTATTTTGGCACGAACCTTGGGACATACACGCACACTATTGTCCATGTACGAGTACTTCTATAGTTTATTCTCATTACTCTGTGCTTTTCTTTTGTTTTTTAGCGTATGTAATAAATATTTTTCTTATTTTTTTTTCTGTTCCATAACAAGATTTCCTCATCAATAATTAATTAAGTATATGATTGGAAACCTTGTTTAAATTATAGTATTTTTTTTCTTTTTCTTTTTTATTTTAAAAAAAAAAGAACTTTGTCTCTCATTAGAATTTTCTCCTGTGTCGTGGGTGCGGTTACAAACATACAATTTCACGTACACATGTCACCCACAATCACAGACCCGGAACAACAATTTGTGGATCACACAAAGAGTTGTTTCGTGCAGGAATCGAACCCGTGACACGTTGCACGGCAGCCAGTTGCGCAGCCATAACACCAACCATGCAATCTAACAGTATTACATTTGCCAATGCGTTTATGGAAAAAATAACATTACAAGACTAAAAAAAACATCCAAATTCTTGTTGGATAAGGCTATCACATAACAAATGTTTTTTAGATTCATTTGATGGAGATCATCAAATGAATCTAAGAAACATTTATACACTCAATCTATTGCTTGGGGAATCACAGTTGTGGTTTTATCACACACCATATCATTATCATGATTTTCATGACAAATCGGTGGTGATTAGTCAAAAAAACCAAGCCTATTCAATCAATGTTGAGTCACCAAAACCCCTTCAAACGAAGGCATATAAGGCCGGCCGGTAATATGTAGATTTATATGAAAACAAAGATGAAAATATACTTCAATAAATATGTAAGTAACCTTTGCACAATGATCTTTTAATACAAAACAAAAATCTCTTTAAGATGCAGGCGTGATTATTTTTTGGTTTTTATGTTTTTATTTCTCTTTACTGAGAAACTACCCTACCCAATTGAAATCTACGTTCTATTATTAAATTTTCGAAAAATTGAAAATATTCTTTAAAATATTCTAAATATTGCTAAGGAAACATACAAAAATGTACACTGTATGGATCTTCTTTCTCTAAGAAAGAAATCCAGCAATTTCCTTATTGTCAAAGGAGCCCTTTGACATTCATATTTTTTTAATGGTATTGTCAAAGGAGCCCTTTGACAATACCATTAAAAAAATTGTGTATTTTTCAAATCTAAAAAAATACACGGATACGGATGAAAAGTATTATCTATTCAAAGAGGTAAAATTTGTAAGTTTGTATGTAGGGACCCGCTGGTCGGATTGCCAAAATTCTTTCACTGATAGATAGCTACAATGTTCTTGAATGCTATAAAAAATCACGCTGCGATCAAATGGAGCCGAGGAGAGGGTGAAAATTTTCATTTCAAACTAAAATTTATGTGAGCTAATTTGAATCAAAATCTATTCAGTGGTTTTTACGTAAATGAGCAACAAATCAACATGCATCAAACCATACTTATTTTCGCGTTTATAATGTTGGTAGGATATATCTAGTCTGTATCTGTTAAACTTGTGTAGGTATTGGATAAAAGTTACTCTTATTAATCAAGTATAAATAATAATAACATCGCAAAACTTGATAAGTACAGTCAAAGAAACACTTTCATTTCTGTATTTCTTTATCGTTGATCTGCACGCCAATAGGCATTTTACAGATACCTAGAATAAAAATGAAGATATTACACAGAAAAATGTACATTCAACAGAGATGGATGCTAAATCCTTTCCTTCCTTTGTCATTGCTTAACCGAATGGTAGGAAAGCGTAGTGATTTCGAGTGTTCGATACCCGCGCGGAAGACATTTTTGTGTGACCCGCCATGTTTGCTCCGGCTCTGAATGTCAAGTGAATGTGAAACAGGAGATAATCCTAGAGCATTTTTATTTAAAAAAATAAGTAAGTATTGTTTTGCCCGGTTAGCGCAGTGGCCAACGAAATAGTTCCAAGTCTGTATGTGAATGTGATGTACCTATATGAGAATTTATATGTTTCTGAACGCATCCACGACAAAGGACAAAACAAAAACGTTTTAAAAAAAAATATTTGTTCTGCCAGGTTAGCGCTGTCGTAGTGACTACGCAGTCTATATGTGATGTATATGAGAATTTATATGATTTAGAACAACCCCAAGACACAAAAAAACTTACTAAATAGCTTCACTAAGAGGACTGACCGACAAACTGACACTTTGCATCTTTAAAATTTTGTTTGACGTTCAAAAGCGCCTGTGCTGTAAGGATCTTATTGAAATAAATGATTTTTTACTTCGTTTTTTTTTACTTTGCGTATGCTCTTTTTTGGCTTTCTTATGCTTACCAAAATCTGGCATGTTATCATCATCACTGCTGCTGCTCTCGATCTGCCGGAATGCGAGGGGTCTATCGCCGAGCGGGCCGCATTGGAAGAGAGTCTCGCCGGGCGCGTGCCACGTGTCATTCGGTAGCGGGACGGCGCGCCTCGCCGCCGGTATCCGCTGCAACGCCTCGTGAACCGCCGGCCCTCGACCGCGCCGCGGCTTCGCTTGAGAACCCTTACCTATTTACAGTTACCATTTCTTTTAACACCATTGCCAAACTGTTTATATGTATTTACCACACTTCCTATTCACAATTTACTTAAACTATTCAACGTCTAATGAAATGAGATGAAAATTACATCGGTACAATAACTTTTGAGGCTAAACAATCGCTATAATGTGGTTTAATTACATAATTTCTGATGTCACAAGAGGAAAGAAGAATAACTATAATTTACAAAATCGATTCTACAATAACGAGGACGGTAGTAATATAAAAAAAAAGATCTTACCAGATGAGGATTTCTTCGGAGGAGACATTGGAACCTTAGATAGTGGCTGTCCTAAAGATGGCTCAGTTTTTATAAGGGCAGATGCATTCTCAACTAAACCTTGCTCTCTTTTAAATACATCTAAGAATGTCTCCATTACACTCATCTGCTTTGAAGAAGTCTTCGCATTATTTGTAGTACTAGCACTATTAATACTGGTTTTCGCACATGAGGAGGGGGCTGTGGCAGTGCATTGCGCCTTAGGACTATGAACACTTAGTCTTCGAGGTTCACTAAATGATTCCAACCTAGGAGGCTCCTTCATCTGAGTCTGGTTTTTAACTTTCAAAACTTTGGTATGAGTAGTCTTACTGTCTTTATAGTTTGCAATCGGCTTGGCCACTGGTGGATAGTGCCCATTAGATACCACCTCTTTCTTGATATCCTCCTTGATATCGCCATTTGTGAATGCACCTATGAGATCGAGCTCTTTACTTGGGCTGTCTGCTAACAGCTTACTCTTAATATCAACACTATCCGAAAACATAAAATTATCATCTGTGTGGCTGACAGTAATTTCTCCAGCAATTACATCAGAATCATGGAAGGTGTATAGTTCGTTGGGATCAATTTTAAATTTGGGGTAGAAATTGTCATTGAGATGAATGTATGGCTGTTCATCTCCTGAGTTGTCATGTAGGAACATATTCACTTCACCACAGCTCCCCGAGGAGACACCCTCAACTGCCATCTTATACTGTGTAGCACAGCTCGCCTCTGATATATTTTGTGGAATAGCACTGAAGCTGGAAAGTACAAAACAACATCATTTGTACCTCATTTAAACTTGTTTTCAATTATTTTACGAGGTAGAATTTACAGTTAGTTTTGACTAAAGACGAGAACATTAGCTAATCACACTCGTATAGGTTTTTCCATTATCATTATTTTGTCAGCAAAAAAGATACATAAAATCTAAGTAATATTCATAAAATGTAGCTGCTGGAAAGACTATCATTATAAACATAGTAATTATCAACATATTATAAACAAATACAGATAATTAAATACAGTACATTTAACAAACTACATTTTTGAATACCTATATAATATTTTGTTAAGCAATAGCTTAACTGAAATGTCCCTCCTGCTTTCGGCAGTGAAAATATGTTTTTGCCATTCTTAAAATAAGATTTGATGTAATCACCATGCTTGGCAGATAACTTGGAGATCATTTTCCTTACTTGACAACATTCAGATTAGCAGGCAGCAAATTAAAAACAAAGTGAAACAATCCAGTGTAAGTAGCGCATCAATTTTAATAGTTACTTAGAAATGACAATATCAGCAACCAAATATAAAATTTCAGTTTGACTTATGTAATAATAATAGTGTGCAGTTTGAATGGCACATTAGTCAATACAACTAAGATATGTGACACTGCAAATGCTGTTTCGAGGTACAATAGTAGCACAAGCTCCTACAAACATTACCACTCAGTAGTACAAAACGCACATACTTTGGGGAATACATAGAATACACAGCAAACATAATAACTGTATAACACTCACCCAACATTTTCTGACGCACTCAAATAAGACATACTGTGTTCATTTTACAACTTAATGATATCAACAACTTTATTGCTATTAAACATGCAAAAGTAAGTTTGGTCCCTTTGCTTCATACTGCAATGAAAAAAAAGGTCGTATTACACATTACACATCCACATACGCAGTATATTCAATGTTATTCATATCAAAAACACAAATAGTTACTATCTTTATTATTGTAAAGATTCTTTGAATTGACATCGGTATGACATATGTCATGAACATAATTAAACATTTTTTTATGTATTTTTCCTTGTTTCTAGTCACTAATCAATGTATAATTAATGATGTGAAAGTATTTTATTATTTCCAACCAAAACGAATAAGTAATTATTGTTGTTTTACGAAGATTATCAAAAACAAATCTCACACTATAGCTTGCTAAATAACCGGTTCATCATTTTCTTGAAATTATAACAAACAGAATTAATGTAAAATCATTCACTTCTACAACGTATTTGCTGGCAAAATAATTATTGTGGCTTTTAAAATAAATAAAACTGAAATCTTTATTCAATAACATCAAGAATGACTGACAGAACACAGCAAATGGCAGCCAAATTCCACAGATGTATTAAAAATAGAGACGGGATGTTTTAATTTAGGCGATTAGTATCATTTTAACTAAATATAAGATTAATGAAATGAAATGATGATAATTATTACCTCATTGAAGATGGGCCGGGTTCCATCTAAAGTGCTTTTAGAATTTTTATAGGAGTTCAATTTCACAAAACATCAGTATTATTTATCTGATTTATCTGGCACTATGTTACAAAAATGCTGAAATGAAAAGTGAATTATGTTTTCAAAATATGTGACTGTAAAAATAAAAAATATTACCCTGTAGATTGTATGGATTGAAAATAAATAGAATTGTGTCCAATTTTGGATGAGTTAATGTAAACGATCTTAACGTTTTTTGGAGTTTGGTATCCCCCCGGATAAACTAAAGTATTGAAACATTACGGAGCATGAAGTTTAAATGTAATGAAGAAAAGAAAACGTTCGTTTCAAATAATGTTTATTCATACAGGACAGTTTAACCGCTTACCTCTTATATAGTATAATAAAATTAAACACGCCGTATATTTTTCGATGTAGTCGCTTTTGGATCTACTTTAGAAAAATTGTATACAATCACACAAGAAACATCTGTTCTAATTATATGCATAAGATATTGTTAATTGAACTAATGAACTAATTAATTTCATTTTCAAAATCTTAACTTTCACAATATTCTATTTATTCGGTATAGAGAAAATTATTGTATTGGCTACCCCGATGTAAAGTTGTTAAAACCACCAATACAATTTTTTAATGTTTTCATATATACAAAATAGAACAAATAAATAAGAAGAAAATTGAAGTATTCGTCGAAAAAAATACTTATAAGAATAACTAATTCATAAAAAATAATCGATGAGAATTCTTCTAGAAAATAAAAAAACATGTAAAAATATGAAGATTTAAATAACGCGCCTTTTGTATTTCGATTTGAGAACCCCGTTTTTGAAGCGTTGTTGTGAATCCAATATGGCGATATTTGATGTTGTACTATTTTGAAGGTACGTCAAATTGACGATTCTATAATGATAATTCCGGTAAATATATTATTGTTAAACAGTTTTCGATACGTAATGAAGAGTTTTAGTATTAAATAATAAAGGAATTGTGTTTTAACAGTGTAAGGGAAAGCTTACAGTTTGTATTGTTTTGTTTGTGATTTCCGATATTTTAATGATTATTCCATTGTTTTACAAAAAAATTTAAAGCGTTTTCATGTGAATGCCGTACCTATGTAACGAATTAGTTAACAAAAACACTGTTTGTGTATATGCCCGACGTAGTTAGGTGTGTTTCACATAAATTGAAGAACAAGATGGAATGTAATTACGGTAATTACAATCGCGAAAATTACGTACCGATTTCTTTACGAATTGTGTTATTTTTGTTACAGAAGTGCACATGTTTTTATACAAATGGGAGTTAAGTAAGTTAATGTCGAGGTGCATTAGATTAGCGCCATAATAATTGATTCATTACTTGAGTACATAGTGTTTAGAGCGCTGACTATCATGACAGACACAAGACGAAGAGTTAAGCTTTATGCTCTGAACGCAGACCGACAGTGGGATGACAGAGGTACAGGACATGTGTCGTCATGTTACGTGGAGAGGTTGAAAGGCACCTCATTACTCGTGCGTGCAGAGTCAGACGGTTCTCTTCTTTTAGAGAGTAAGATACAACCCGACACAGCCTATCAGAAGCAACAGGACACATTGATAGTCTGGTCAGAGGGTGACAACTTTGATTTAGCATTAAGTTTCCAAGAAAAAGCCGGTTGCGACGAAATATGGGAGAAGATTTGTCAGGTAAATATAAATATGCAATGTTTTTAATTAGTTACATTTCATGCTAGCATTGATTTGTGAAACATCCAATTCAACTTTAGATTCTTATAGGAATCTTAACCTGAAGCTTATAGTATTGACTTTGAATCAAATTGTAAATAAAAAGTAAAGATTGATCTTGTGACAATGTAACAGTAACTAAATAGTATTATCTTATATCTGTATGTTGACATTGACATTGATGTGTGGCTGATTGTGTTGTGATATAAGTGCATATGTAACTTGTGTACTTACTTTCAGGTACAAGGAAAAGATCCTTCAGTTGAAATAACACAAGACATAGTGGAAGAATCAGAAGATGAGCGGTTTGATGAGATGTCGGACAGTGTGCAGCCAGTGGAGCTGCCTGCATGTGAGATGGGGCGCCTGGAGGACATCAGTGAACTTGTCAACAGTTGTCTGGTGTCACCAGCGCGCAAGGACAAGCTGGCAGCTGCCCTAGAAACACAGCATTACATCAAGAAATTACTTAATCTGTTCCACATGTGTGAAGACATTGAAAACATAGAAGGGTTGCATCATCTTTACGAAATATTTAAAAGTATATTTCTTTTAAACAAAAACACACTGTTTGAAACCATGTTTGCTGACGACACCATATTTGATGTTGTGGGCTGCCTAGAGTATGATCCAAGTCTGCCCCAACCCAAGAAACATAGAGAATATTTACGGGAGCTGGCTAAGTTCCGGGAGGCCATCCCTATTAAGAACAAAGAATTGCTAGCGAAAATACATCAAACATACAGAGTGCAGTACATTCAAGATATTGTTTTACCTACTCCTACAGTTTTTGAGGACAATTTGCTAAGCACATTGTCCAGTTTTATATTTTTCAAAAAAGTAGAAATAGTGAAACATATAGAGGAAGATGAGAAATTTTTGACAGATTTGTTTAAACTTCTTATGGATGATAAGACACCAGATCCTAAGAGACGGGACTTAGTTCTGTTTTTAAAGGAATTTTGTAATTTTTCACAAAACTTGCAACCTCAAGATAAGGATGCGTTTTATAAAACATTAGTATCTCTAGGGATTCTACCAGCATTAGAAATCACTCTAAGTATAGATGATCAGAAGACTAAGACTGCATCTATAGACATTTTAACTTACATTGTAGAGTTTTCACCTTCTGTAGTGAGGGACCACACACTACAGCAGGCAAACAACACTGAGGAGGTATGTATGATACTGGTTTTACTCTTTACTACCTGTGCTGTGCTTATCATATAATTTAACTTAATTTTCTCTTTTAGGAACAAATGTTACTAAATATAGTGATAGAGCAGATGTTAAGGGACAGAGACCCGGAGCTGGGTGGCGCAGTGCAGCTCATGGGAGTCCTTCGCATACTCTTGGACCCTGAGAGTATGCTAGCATCAGTGAATAAGAGTGAAAAGGCAGATTTCTTAAATTTCTTCTACAAACACAGTATACAAACATTAATAGGTAAAGTACAATTTCTGTGACTCATTATGGTTCAAATTATTATTTTACCAGCTTCCTAGAATAGTAATTGTGTACAGCAAACACAAGCCTATAATTGTGTGCTATAATGTTGCTTTGCAAATAATTTATTAAGACAGGGGGCACACTATTAGCAATTCTAATAATAATTACAGAGAAAAATATTATCTAGATTTGTATTAGACTTTGAAAACATGTCAATTGGAACAAGTTATGAATGTAAGTAGGTTTGTTAATTTGTTGTTATAAGATTCAATGTTATCTCCATATTTGCCATGCTAATTGACTACTGTCAACAAGTTTCTTGGCGGCCTAGTGTTTATTAATGTATTTTTTTTAAATTGCAATTAAAAAAGGTCACAGAATTCAGCCTAAGTTGCAAACAGTATACTCTTAATATATCTCAAATTCCAACTGTCTTTTTTTTACTATTAAGCTTGTAAAAGCCACATATTATAACATATTATTGCCTGTACAATATTATTTTCTACTTAAGTGAAAGTTGTCATTGCTTTTGCACATACCAATTGTTATCAAAACCATTCTGAAAGCAATAGTGACACAGCAAAAATAAAAGTTGTAAGTTTTATTTATTTATAATGTGTGTAACCTTTTCAGCTCCTCTCCTAGAAAACACAACGGGGGAGAAACCTCTAAAAGAAGACTATCACACTGTGCAGCTACTTGGACTTGTTCTCGAACTACTGGCCTTCTGCGTTGAGCATCACACTTATCATATAAAGACCTGTATATTGAATAAGGTAAGAATTCTCAAATACTCTTTAACTTTTAGCAGTGCTAGTTTAATACCTAGTTAAAATAGAAATAACTAGAATTCATAAAAAAGGTACCTACCTGCCTTTTAGTAAGTTTTTGGGTTAAATTAAATACCCTTGACAAGAGCATGCCATGGGGTATGCACATTTAAAATGTTTCGAATTTCTTGTATAAGACACAACAAAATTGTGTATCATTTCTGGCTGGGGGTTAATCACAACTAAAGTATCACAAAAATTCCTACAGATTCTGATAATTTTCCTTAGTTTTCATATTTTAATCAGTAACCTAATGACTAAGTTTCCATTTCACTATCACAAACAATTATTAATCACTGAGTTATCTAAGTTAATGTAAACAAAAAGTGTCTTTATAACATGAATTAGAATGATATGGTACACTAGTACTACACATGTTTTCTTTGACGTGAACATGGCTATCTCTATATCAATAAATCAGCTATCAAACATGCTAATAAACATTGATTTAATACTAGTTTTCGAGTCTGGTTTTGCTTCCTTAATTCTGCATAGAAAAAAACATTGAAACTTTAAGTACACACATTAAAATGTAAATAAACACACATGTTCTGTATCAGATAACATAAAAATTAATAATTTTGTTAAAAATTAAATAAATATGGAACAAGTTTTACATCTTGCTCACTTGAGTTTGCATTTGGGTTTTTCCCCAACTGTCTATTAAACAAGGTACCTATATTTGTCAGGAAATTTACACATTTTTCACTAACCACAGTTACATAATGTGTAAATAAATAAAGCAACTTGTATATAGTGAATTATTTTATTTACACAATGACTTATGTGACAAGGTCACCTTATATAACGGAAATCATTTTTTCATGAGTTCCTCCTAATACTTCATTGGTGTTTTCTTTGCCATTGGTTTCAATATCTCAGATTGGTGTATTTATTTGTGAGTGATTGTTTGCAAAAAAATATTTACCCTGAATGTCAATGGCATACTTTTTCCTAAACTTTAGTATTGCACGACCTCCACGCATTTCATGTTATCAAGCAGTTTGGCCAGTGCATAGTTTGTGAATGAGACTGCCTAAGATAGATTAACCTCATACGAAAAAGTCGTTGAAATTGCAAGTTCTTTTTGCAATTCAACTACGAATGACGTCACTTCAAGTGCAAAGTTCGACGACACATTCTCTTGTCGTCACCACATGTCATTGGTAGTGGTTATGTATTTTTTCAACATTATTACATTATGTGAATATGTTATTGGAGTGTTTTAAGTAGGAGAGGAAATACCACAAAACACTATGTAACCCATATTAGAATTTTTCCTGTTTCTTTTCTTTTTGCTCAAGCAAAGTTGTTCCATGCTATTATTTGACTAGCTGCCAACTGCGGCTTCGCCTGTGTTCTATATTGATGAAAAGCGTCTAAAAGACGTAGATATCTTTTCAAATTACTACAAATTCGGTCCAGCCGTTTTTGCATAAAATAATTACAAACATACATCCATACATTCTCACAAACTTTCGCTTTTTTATGGTATTGTTTGGTAAACGAGCAGACGGATTACCTGATGGCAAGCAATCAGCGCCTCCCCGACACCCGCAATACCAAAGGAGTTACGAGTAGTTACGAGTGCGTTGCCGGCCTTTTAGGGATAAGTGTTTCGGATATTATGGATTGGGAAGTCCACCCCTTCCATTAGGGAGAGGGAGGGATTGGGTCTACATTTGTAATGAAAACCATGACTCAGCAAGATAGCATACTTATAAGTTTAATCTGATGCTACAATTTGCTAATTAATGATAAAAATAATATGTAATCCTAATATACCCTTGCGTAATTCCAGGACCTTCTTCGTCGTATACTGGTGCTGATGAGGTCAACGCATACTTTCCTGGTGCTTGGCGCACTCAGGTTTATGAGGAAGATCATTGCACTCAAGGATGAATACTATAACAGATATATTATTAAGGGGAACCTATTTGCACCAGTTATAGATGCTTTTCTTAGAAATAACGGCAGGTATGTATACTAAAAAACTTGGATGAATGCCCAGTTTTATTATTTATTTTTCATATATTTATATCTAGAAATTACTGTTGTAATGATTAATGAAGTACCTTTATCTAGATTTACTAAAATTATAAACCAATATTTTGCTTGTAAAATGTTCTGTAAAGCCAAAATATGAAAATTATTTACACTTTTTTATACGAGGTCGTATTATAAGAGTGTTTTCACGACGCTCCGGCAACGCATTTCATACGTACTATGCGTAATGTTTATTCTCATTCAATTACAGGTACAACTTACTAGACTCTGCAATACTAGAATTATTTGAGTTCATCAAGTTGGAAGACATCAAATCGCTATGCTCACATGTCGTTGAAAACTACGGAAAGATCTTAGAAGACATTGAATATGTACAGACATTCAAAGCTTTAAAAACGCGGTACGACCAACATCAGGACAAACTGAAAGAGAGGGATCGAGGTGAGACAACATGTAATTACACATTTGAATATTTATTAGAATGTAAGGTTAGGTATACAATTATAAAGCTAAGTGGAATACAAAGTCAATTATAAGTTGTTAATAGGCTAATAATATAGATAGTCGCGCTGGGCTATCGACCTTTAGTGAATGGAACCTTTAAATTACTAGGACTGCACTGTTGACGCGGTAGTTGGGCAACTGGCTGCCGCTCAACGTGTCGCGGGATCGATTCCCGCACGAAACAACTCTGAGTTCCGAGTCTGGGTGTGATGTGTATGTGAAATTGTATGTTTGTAAATGCAACATGAAAATCGCAGTGCGGGGTAAAGTTTTTAAAAACAAATAAATTACCTATCTGTTGATTTTCACACATAAAATTGGTTTTATAATAATTTCTTCAGAAAATATTAATTATTCAAGATATGTATAATGAGTGAGGGTGTTGTTATCCAGTGAGCGGTAGTGTGGGCGTGGCGGAGGCGGTGGTACCGTCCCTGTTACGTACGCGGTACAGACGCGAAGCGCGCGCGCCCGACGACGAGGAGGAAATGTGGTTCAACGACGACGATGAACTCGAGGACGACGCGCCACTCGACGCCCAGCAGACGCACGCGCATCCCCACGCGCATCACGCGCTCGATGCCATCGGTACTATTACTTTTATACATCTTATCTTACCTTATCTTTATTCCCTGCAACATTAACTCCTGATTGAGTCAGACCTAGAAGTTAGTTATGCGTATTTTGTGACCTCGTAAGACTATGGTAATAGAGAATATTTTTTCTAAAACAATATTTTACAATTTAATTTCCAGGAAAAATAGTAGAAAAGAAGGTATGCTCGAATACGGAAGCTGTCAACGGTCCTAGCAGAGTCCTCCTAAGCACTACGTCACCCAGCAAGCCGACGCACACTGACGTTCAGGTATCCTCGCCCAGATTACTCAATAAGGTAAACTTTTAGTTCCCTCACGCTCTCTACTCTACTCGCTTCGCTGGGAAATCATGATGTGTCAGTTATCTCAAAACAGAGGCAAAGGTCTTGCATGGTGTTGGTTAGACTTGCATTCCTTCTTAAATGTTTCTGCTCGGAGAAAAAGTGTGATAATGTACCTGTTATTCATTAGAACAAATGGACTAGACAGCTTATCATTTCCTATTTCCTTTGCTAGGAATGTGCTCATGATAAAGTTACCGATTGCTAGTCTTATAATTCACGCATATTGTTAGTGTGATTATTTTTTGAGTGATTGGTGTGTCAGGCCCTAAATAGTAAATCCGCAGTATAAATATCTAATCTATAGATCCACGAGTATATATAACATTGTTCCTAATTAGATGCCGAAATCGGAAATGATTTAAAACATTTTTACTTAATTGGTACTTTGCTATATTTGTCAAGGTGACCTTGAAGTTACAGGTTAACGTTTTGTAGGGCAAGTTTCACCTTGTTTGACTTGTCAACAGTTCAGCATGTGGTTTTGTTTTATTTATGGTTTCTGATTATTACTAAAACATTAAGGATTAGTTTTCATTTGAAAAAAAATGTGAGCCATTAACACATTCAGTGCCCCCGACGCGTATGTGCGTTTCCTCGCACGCACATACGCGTCGGGGGCACTGAATGTGTTAATAAGATAAATAAAATGGTTTTGATGGTGTAGAGTACTCAATGATGCTCTTAGTATTCATAATATGATAGACCTAGCATTATTTTTTTAATTTTATGTGTGTGATTTGCGTGGTCGTTTTTTTAATTGTCAATTCCTTTGTTTCTTTTAGTTGACTGAGATAATTCACGTGTTTAATTTTCCCTTAAAATTATTTTCTGATCAGTACCTTTATGATAAATTTTAATTCGAGTTACAAAGATTGATTGGTTAAGGGGACTGCAAAGTTTTGTGTCTGTTTTAATTAATGAATAATATTGTGTTTACAATAGGCCATAATTATGTCCATTTAATGAAATTGCTTCCATTTGAGTGTAATTGCTGAATACATAGTCATTTGGATTCAATCCCTCAAAATTCATTATAATCTTGCTTTGGCAAACTCCTGAGCTTGTTTATTGTTGTGTAGATAAGTTTGTTTCAGTATATGAGTTTGACTGTGCAGGGTTTGGTGGACTATGATGGCGACTCGGACGAGGAGGAGGAAGGGGGCGGCGCGGGGAGCGGTGGAAGCGAGGAGCGCGACGCCAAGCGGCCGCGCCTGGCGTAGTGGCGGCCGCGCGCCGCGGGATCAAGGAATATAGCAGCCATAGCCTCGCCGCCGTCTGTGCTGCACGTGATACCACCCAACATAAGTAAGGTCCTCCTCACTGCGCTGCGGTACTCCACCTGTCCGCGGTCACTGGCTGGCGTACGGCTTGTGGCGGGCGCGAGGCGGCGACCGGATACTCGGGTTCGGATGCGTTATTGTGATTTGTAGCGTAAGGTTTCACTGTCACTGCCATCCTACACTTCCACCTTCCAGTATCCCCGACACCTCGCCCCTGTCACATGTACAGCCGATTGCATTTACATTGGACACAATCGGTCGTGTTTACGTGCTCTCGTTAGTGAACCGCTAGACAGTTCTGTACTTCCAGCTGCTGGGTTATGTCCATTATTTGTAAATATGAAGTGCTGACACTTGAGTGTTCGACTTTAGTTAGTTAGCGTATGAAGTTCTTCATACTTCGTAGTGTAATAATATACTTCAGATGGCATCAGAAAGTAGAACAAATATTGGTTACAAGGTGTATTTAATGTGAACTAATTTTAACGATTAGGTTACTTTTGTCAAGGATTGTAATCACAAAAAGTACAAAGAAAATATGAGTGGGAATTAAACGTCTAATAATAAATAATAATAGAAAAAGAATAAACACCCTGAACGCGGTATGAAAATGTAAAAATGTACGTATTTATAAAATCTTAGTTTATGAAGGATCACATGACCAATCTTTTTTTAGAGACATTTAAAATCATAATTTGTGCTGTGGAATTGTTACTCACTAGAGCGCTATTGTATCGTAACGGATCGGATCTAATAATCTGTTGCCAGGACGTCGTCATATTCTGTCTGCCACCATCCAGACGAGTCAGCCGTGAACATAATATTCGTAATATCAGATATACGATTGTTCTCAATATTTTGCATTCCTTCTGTTGAGCTTCGTGGAGAGATTACAGTTTGTACTTTTCCGTTTATTATTTTTGCAGTAATCATTACACGGGCGTTGTTTTAAGCATGTAGTATATTTGCGACAGTGATCACATTTGATTTTATAACAAATCTCTTAAGGCTCCGAATTTGTTGAGAGTAGAGAATAGTTTATGGTTTACTGTTTAACACAATGTTGATGAATTATACTAACATTCTAACTACTGTTAAGTAGCACTTCCTATTTATAAAATGTTCTATGTGCCGCTTAACATTAGCACTTATGGCACTCTCGGAGTAGTTAAAATGTTATTAATTATCAAAGGTGAGATATTTTATTTGAACTGAATACCCAAAGTGTGACTAGATTGTTTTTATGTTCCATAATTAAAATTAGCCAAAATTAGACTAAATTGAGACTATTATTATAAGAATTGGAAATGAAGTACCCACATGTTGACTGCCTGATTGTTTATCATTATTTAAATAAAAATAAATTATTTCTATGCAAATTAGTTACATTATTTTCGTGGCATAGATAAGTTCAATGGACATGCGACCTTGCGGCTTAAGTTGTGTGTTATCTGTTTAGTGGTTCAGCGAAATTACACAGCAATACTCAAAAAGAATGTTAATGGAGAGAAGTATATTTTTGAGGTGGGGTAACACAAAACTTATATCCAAAACGTCGTAAGAACATTAGGGTGGACTAAATCACTTGATACATCATATTTTCCGATCCGGTCTGACAAATTATACCAGTTACATACATACAGTGAAACTTAGTAGTAGAGATATGGCAGTCAGCATGTTACATGTTTATCTGGATCCTGAAACTCGTAAGGTACTGTGTAGATACAGTTGATACTAAAATGCAGTTTAGACAGCCGTAAAAACGGTTTGCCGGTATATATGTATACGATTTTAGTACATTTTTACAACACGCGAGTTACCTACTCTATCTACACAGTCCCTTTCAAATACAAACAGCTTTGTTGCGTACTGGCAGCTACGAAAATAATTAATTTCATAGTGATTATGCCTGCTTCTTGATTCTTATTTTGAAATAAATTCAAGCAAAATTGTTGTAATATTAGAAATAAAATTATTTATCATCTCTTGTTGATATTTTTGGGATCCAGATTTATCATGTCATTTGGATTTGGTATGCATTTTTTTATGATTAACGCGTTTGCTGCTGTCGGTATTATATCTGTGTTTCCATATTTGTCTTAAGAAAGAAAGCTTAATGGATACATAGACAGTGTTCGAATTTGTCAGACGATACCTTCCGCGGTCAACGTGTTAAATCTATGATAATATTTGTAGCCCATCAGTGATTTATGACACTTATCTTCCTATGTTATAGTTATATAGTTTCCTATAAATCTCTGATTCTGGGACCCGGTGACGGATTCATTTCATCGCGACGAAAAAATGCACGAAAAATATAATGTAATGTTTATTTTATTTATTAATGTATTGAATTTTCAAAAGTAAAACTTATTATTTTCTGACACATTGTCCTAGAATAAGGTTAATATAATTGTTAGTGTAATGTCATGAAATGGATCCCACCGATCGTCCACTGTCTGTAAAATGTCCACATTGAAAATGAATTATAAAATCAGTATTAAATCTTTCTTTACTTTCAACAAAATGTTTCCTATCTTCGCTTATATACGATTGTTTGTAGCTTTTTTACACTGCGGAAGTAATGTGTATGTGATAAAATTATCTGATTAAGATCCATTTTATTTTATTACTATAAACCTCTAGTTTTATCATTCGTATTTTGTAAATAATATTAGATTTTGTAAAATACACTTAAATCTGGTGATTATAAACATCTATCTTATAATAAATTAAATATTTTGCATAATCAGATGTCGCCAGAAACGATTTAGATGGAGTGGTCCAAGCATTATTTAACAGAAACAATAACAGTACTGATCTCAGTTGTAGTAGCCTCCCGGCTTCTTGTAACCTCGTATATAATGTAGCAGTGCTCAAATAATATCTATCTGGTCAACGGTTTCAATTTCATTACGCATTAGTGTATCATTTTGCATTTACCGAATGCTCTTCCATGTGTATCAAAAATATTCTAACTATAGATACTTTCTTAAGATCTAGTTTTTTGTAGTTGCAAGTTTAACATAAGATATTTCGGAAATGTTAATATTTCTGATTTAGTGTGACACAAGATGCGATGGAGCCATATTATCAAAACATATTGAATATATTATTTTAAAAGCATAGCTTGATAAAATACATTTAATACTTTTTAGTTAAATTGAATGCTCGTGGAGTGTATTTTAATATAAAATGTGTGCAACAGTTGTCATAGACATTGTTCATAATATAATTTATATAACTAGCTGTATTGTCTCTCGATTATAAAGTACTGGCGGCATGATTATGTGACTAATTGTTGCAAAGGACGGTAGGGTGTGCATCTCAGTGCGGCCGGCCTCTGGCTCGCTCTACCTCCTCGGTTCCGCAGCCTCTGTGCTTGCACTCTGCAGTACAGTGTCTACGGTACGAAACGTAACGAAGGTAAATTGAACTGAGCACAAAATAAAACAACCAATTTCTATAAGTTTTCTCTAAATTATTTTTCCAGCTATGGTTTCCTAAGTTTCCTCTTATTTATTTTAATTGACTAACTTGTATAACGTTTCTAAATACATATCAATTTTAATATGTATCTGATAAAGAAATTATTGATCTCTGCCATGAGATTTTACATCTTATCAAAGAAATCCGCAACCGCCACTATTGTAACTATATGATGGTCACACTTCTATCAGTGCAAAATATTCCAGCTTTTTTGACGAATGCACAGTCAACGCGAGGCGAATTCAATTATTACATACGTGGAATGAACTTGTCAGAATATATTGTAAATACAACGTTTTATGTAATAATTTTATTTTCAAATCTGCCAACATCCACGTGTATAATAGGCTAAAAGCATCGAGCTGTCAATTAGATTTATACGATTCTTATATTCCTTGAAATAACTTCCCCCTTAATTTAAATACGAAGTTCTAGGTGAAAGTAGACTGTAATAATGACTATTTTTTATCTGTCTAGGTGGATGACCATCATAAATTAATTTATACACAGATTAAAATAGATTTACCTATCGGCAAGTTGTGTAAAATAAATAAGCTTACGATAATGCTATTATTATGATGTCACTAGTTAAGTAAGCAATATAAATATAAGGTAATAATTACGATTCATGTTGTTTCTTTCATACTTCCACAATTTACTAAGAAAACAAATAAAAATTCAATTCGGGACTAAATATTTTTTAATTTGAATTCGCGAATAAATATAAGCGTAATAAGATTTCTGAACAAAATAACGACTAAGGTGGAATAAAATTAATTTAAATTAATTAGAAATATCAACCACTTCAGTCTTTAACTTGGAGGCAAGTGCCCTTCGCAGCTGCATGGCGTCTGGAGGAGGCGGCGGAGTTACACCTGCCAGTGCTGCTTGAGCCACACGAGCTGACCGGGGTCTGGCAATGCTGCTTTGAGACCCCTCGCCACCTAGAAATCCAAAAAAAATATTACACTTAATTTAATCATACAGTGACTAAGAAAATGTTTTTACCTTTAACCACATTAAGACTAGTACCTACTTGTCCTGTGTCATGGGTTCACAAAAATTATTTTCACATTTAAAACACCCAGACCCGAAACAATTTCTAAAACACTCAGAACTGTTCCTTGCAGGGATCGAATCCTTTGCACAGTGGCCAGTTTATCAAAATCGATTACTTATTAAGTATTTACCTCCTGTTTCTGCGCCATCTGCTGCACCAAGTCGTCGCTCGCGGACTTGCTTCTTCAATGCTAACAACTTATCGCGCTGTTGTTTCAAATATTCCTGACGAGCTCTCATTTCTTCCTCAGTCACCTGGCAACCGCAACCGGTATGTTAACATCATAACATTCAAGATCGACTAGCGATAAATAAAGAGGTTTAGTCACGAAAAAAATACTGTAAAACGGGATGTGTAGAATTTGAAGGGTGAATAGAAAAGGGTCGGATGAAGATGTTGACAAATTTTCCTAGTAGGTATCTATTCACCTCTGCGTTTCGTCACCCCGTTTTACCACCATGAATTTGTATTAAAGAGGTTTATAAACAGTTGATCTGTTGAGTTCGACAAACAAAACAAACCTCAACTTTTTTAGGACGTGTTTTCGGTGGTTCCATAACTTGAATCTTTTTTTCTGCAGCCACAATGTGATCTTTTTTCTCGACATGTTCGTCCTTTTTTTCAAAGCTGTGGAGTTTGGATAACAAAGTTTGCTTCTCGGCTACCACTTCTTCGGGCGGGACGTTAACAACCTCATCTTTACCTTCAAAATCTTCCAATTGTAATCTGAAAAAGGCAGTTTACCATTAGAATATATTATTATCTAGGGCTGTACCTTAGATATGTTCCGCCTTGTGCAGTGATGGCACAAACTTACTTCTTTATTTCAGTCATGACATCGTCATTATCTGGCCATTCCTCGCTTTCATCACTCCTTGATGAGTCTAACAATGAGACATCTGGTTCTGCAGAAAACAAATGGGGCATTGCTCCATACCTCCTTTCAATTAATTCTAGAGCCTGAAAACGATAGCAAAGTACGTGGTTTATCTGTAGTTTTAGTTACATTACACAATACATACCGTACCTATGGTTAGGAAATTCATGAATATTATGTATATGTATACGAAAGGATAGGTACCGAGTCATCCGGATCACAGGTTGTTGTTATTTAGTTTAAGTTAGTTTTTTTTTTATAAAATGCAAACTATGGTCACTTGATGGTATGCAATCAAATCAGCACAGCCAATATACTTGGAGCATTAATGTGTTAAAAAAGAGCGTTACCGGCAATTATGTATAAAACTAATACGTCATTGGTTACCGATTACCAAGTAATCACGACACCTACCTACCTTGCCTGTTCTAGGACATGGGAAAGCTCGAAAACTGAAAAAATGCCTAGTTTTAAACCTACCTGTAGCTGCAATTCCACATTCTTGTGGGTCATCATCTTAACAAACATTTCGTAATCATTGGCGGCCCATATTTGTTCAAAAAGACGTCGATGGAAATGTGCCGGTAGCCCGGCTAAATCCCGCGCTGACAGCTTGCACGCCGCTTCGAACTGATCAGCCGTGATGCCGATATCGTCCATGAACGAGCCTAACATCACGTCCACCTGTACCCATAACAAAAATGCTCAAGAAATTTCCTAACATTCTCGGGGGGTAGGTAGTTGAATAGGTAGGTATACAGTACTTCTTCGTTGGGTTATTTGATTTAATTATTAAACCTTAAAACATAGGCAATAGGTAGGTACCGTCTTTAAAAAATTAGGTTGTTAAGATAACTTGTAACCTATTAATTACATAACTGCCTACCTAGATGTTTTGATGGGACCATAGCAATGATGAGTAAGTATACTTACTAAATTGCGGTACTCGTCATGTATCTTCTTATACTCTGGTCTATCGAGAACTTCGCCATGATCAGTCGGCTCAAAAGCTGGAAGTAAAACATCATAATCAGTTTACTGACAGACCTATAGGTAAGTAGAACCAACAAAGGTCGACAGGTTGATAAAGAATAACTATGTATGTACGTACTAGGTAGGTTTGCGTATTTCTTAAGTCTGTGTTACTAACGACATTACCTATGTAAACGCAAAGTTGCTAAGAAACGAACAAACTTTTGAATAGGTACCTAAGTACTTACGTAAAGACTTTTCTTCTATAAAAGTCTGCAGTGGTACATTCCACACGGGACCATGGAGAAATCCTACAAGAGAATCAAACACCCATGCGTTACCGTCTGAATTTTCCATTTGTGCTTATAGCTTCTATCTGTTATTAAGTAATAAGTTGTAGTACTTTTATGAAATAAGGTATTTATGTAAGTAATTAAAATCAATGATATGACGTTTATTTGTACTGGCTGTTGTTATGGTTACCGAAAATACCTACTCTTTATTGTTTTCTGTAGTTCTGGCAGGATACTGTCGGTAACAAAACATGGACATGGGTTAATCAAGGTCTTGAGTCTTGAGGTCTGACAGTGACCTTGATTAACCCAAAATAGTATAGTAAGTATTGTTCTTCTTCCAAACTAGTGCAGAAAGTAAAACATTAAATCACATTTTAGACTAGTTTGTTACCTACTTTTCTCACTTTTTGTTAACTAACATAGGTACCGTACTAGCAAAGTCGGAATAATGTATTACTTATTTAGGTATTACCTAAATAAGGATAATAAATGAGGGGTATTAAATGGTAATAAGTTTAATAAAAAACTATATTTTCTCACAAAAAATTTATTTATTGCCTGCCAATAGTTATATAATTTGAAAAGAAATCTGTGTATACATTATGAAATAACAATACTCAGTTCGAACGCACCCAAATGTCAGCTGACGTCTCGAAATGTAAGAAATATTTTGACATTACTGACAGTGTCATCGTGACATATCTGATTTCATAATTGCGTTTCAGCATCGGAATAGTATATGTGGTGAGCGTTTAAACTAGTTTGGTTTCTTTCTAACTCAAAAAGAATAAAAGAGAAAGAGCTAACAAATCGATATTCTTGATTAGGTTATTTAGGTTTGGTTTTTGGTTAAAATAATAAACAATGAATAAAACAGTTATTGTTTAATAATAAATGGAGAACAGAACATCAGTTCAATAACATAGTCTTAAAAATGGCAAATCAAAAACCCACTACATCATTAGAGTATGAAAATGTGAATGGGATAAAACTTGTACTAAATGTTCATAAAAGACAAACTCCCCCAGACGCTAGAATATTTACAATAACTTATAAAAATGTGAAGAGTAATAATTCTAAAATAGGGGCGAAGGCATCTCTGTTTCTAGCTATAATATTCAACTTATTAGCTCTTTTTTACATTCGGATTAGTTTAACAGCAATATTGATTATAATCATTGTATTATCTTTCTTGGTCTTCTTTTGGTTTACACACAGTGTTCAGTCAGGTTAGTATCATCTATTCCTACTTCAATTAATATTTAATTTACTAATGATTCTGCACCAAGATCAAATTGTAATTAAACTTGAATTTTGAAATTACTAGTTGTACATATGTAAAAACTAATAAAGAAGGCCTGGCATTCTACCATATGAGGTCAAGTAATTCTTAGGTCTTAGCCTGAAGCAGGAGATGGAAAAGGTGGTTTTTAATGTGTAAGACTCTCTGACACTTCCTATAACTAGATATTCCCCTACAAAAATAAATATTACCTCTAGCATTATTTCAATAGTTGTGTGTAATGTTTAGTATGTCTGACAATATTTACTAAAAAATCACTTGAATATTTCAGAAAGTCTCATAGTCATACCCACAGTGTGTATCCAAAGCACTGTCAAGTATGTGTGGGGTAGGGAGGACACCTTTGTGGACTGGTCAAATGTTGACGATGTTATCATTAATGAAGTCATTAAAATGGTAAGCATTACTAGATAGCTTGTGTGTTATCTGTAAGTTTAGTTTATTTTTATTAAGTAAGAATCTTTATTTTGCCAATTTTATATTCTTTTTTTTTAATTAATTTTAAATTCTATTCTTTTTTTGGTGTCAGTACAAAATATTTGATGCATGTTGTGACACCTTAAAGTGCATGTAACTTAATTATCCTATACTTAATGTTTAGATATAGCTACTGGTTGTCTAAAATTAAATAAATAAAAATTAAATAGTTTATGCTAATGTTTTAATAATTAATTATCTGCCAGTATATGAGACACAATAGAAAATACATTGTGTCTTGTTTTAATCTACATTCTGGTACACCAGGGGTTAATATTCTTTGGTAATAGGATTTAGATTCTTATATTATTATGCTAAATCCTTTGCTGACTATATTATAATAAAATTAGTAAAGAATGTTCACCAGGTTAATGGTTTGTTTTGTTGAATTTCAGAATCGGGTATTGTATTACCTAACACTATTAAAAAAAGAAGATAATCCAGATTCAGTGCGTCTGGTACCACTTTTTAAGGTAAATAACAATTATTTAATATGATAATATTTTACTACTGAAATTAGATAATCAAAAACCATTTTCTTATGCAATTATTACCACTAAAAACAATATAAAATATAAATATTTACAGTCAACTGTTCACAATTACAAACAGTTCACAATTACACAACAAAAATATAATAAAGTATAATGAGAAAGTTTTATAATTTTTATTCTAATTTGACTAGTAAGTTCTATTTGTTCATAGGTTACAAAATAGCATTTTTATTAATTATTAACTATTTGTATTTGCAGTATACAAAACCAAGACTAGTCATGCTACAGAAGATCTACTCGGAGATACAAACATTTCTGATGGATGCTCAGAAGGAGAGTTCTATGGCTTCCGGAGACAAGAAATAAAACTAACACAACTATTTATTTATTATAATTAGTATTACACTATTATTAGTTAAATCAAATTTAATGTAACAGGGGAAAAATACTCCACATATTTGCACATTACATGGTGCATCACTACCCTCCTCAAGGATACAGAGGCTCAACTCTTGGATTAAAGTTATCTATGTAACATAGTTTTCTCTTAATCGATGTAACATATGTATTAGTTTATGATTTAATGTTATAATATATTTATGTATTGTATTCTCAATGGGCCTCAGATGCCTGACTTAAATAAATAAATAAATAAAATAAAGTGTGGGAGAACAATGCTTCGGTACGAATGGGTCGGTTCTACCGGAGTCTAACCATGGCCTCACTGAATACCGCCTGAAAACAGCACTTGCGTTGTGTGAGATAGGCAAAGCTACATATCGTCATTGGAGTGAGGTTACCAGTCGCTCGATCCATAAAATAGTTCGTAATTTTACAGTATACATTTGTTAAAAGGAATGTTTTGCAATATCTATATACATACTTATAAACTTGGTACTTTTTTAGTTTGCTAGACTTCAACAAGGTTTTTCTTGGGAGTACCTAGACTGAAATTTGAAGTTGGATGGATTCCTTTGTATTTACAATGTTGTAATTTAATCCTCTACACAGCGGTAAAAACGAATAAATAAAAAAAAAACTTTCAATGTTTTAAAATATGGATTGGTTCCATGTTTGTAGCCGCAATTTTTTAAATAATTTCGTAAAATTAGGTAGACCAATTGGCTGGTAAAATTTATGGAACTTTTTATTGTATTAACTTATTAATTTTATTACAATTGTAATAAATAGGTGGTAGTCATTAATTGCTAGATGGATGGTATGTTCCTGTGGTCTAAACCATTATTTCCTTCATTCCAAATAAGCAGCTATTTATATTGTGCTGTGATATCATTTATTAAACAGGCTAGGGTATTAATTGAATGGCTGATTAAGCTAGTTGACTGTAACAGGTACTCCATGAGAAGTGACTTTCTTACTAGTAATATCATGTCTAGTCTTTAATTCAAATTTATACATGCAGTTCCGGCGTTAGGGGCGTGATGGGGCGATGGCCCTGGGCGATAAATTCTAGTGGGCGCCAAGGTCTGAAGTTAGTTAAGCTCTTGCCTCTCCTAGTGCAAACTCCAGAACTGTGCTCTACGTTCTGTGCATATGCAGTTTTTTATTTTACTTGTGATCAGATCAAAAATGTAACACTTGATATTGCTTCCCTCAAGTGGGCGCCACGACATTTTCGCTCGGGGTGTCAGTGGCCCTTACGCCGGCGCTGTATACATGTATACCTACCTATATAACTTCTCATAAACTATTCCACCATAGATTGGTACAAATTCTAGATGTAGGTAATTTAGCTGAATTATTTTGTAAATATTGTTTTATGTGTTCAAAACTAATTAGAAAATAAGGATTAGTCCAATTTTGAATTCGTTATTACTATTATTATTAGATAAATTCTATGTTACTTTGTGAGGTAAATACTTATACCTACTTACCTAAGAGCTGATTTTTCGATAGATAAATATATCTTAGGAATAAAATTGTTGCTGTCACTGTCCTACACAAACATTTTGACGAGACAGCATCAAAACGGTTCGCATGTAACTTTTATCTAACCATCGAAAAATTAGCCCTAAGACATAAATTATAAATAACTAATTTGTTATATGTTTTTCATCAAGAAGGGAAAGTCATCAAATGACTTCTCCCGCCCAGGGCCGGGCAGGAGGGAGTGTCAGACTCTTACTGACTAAAACCCCCCTGTTCCTTCTCCTGCTCTGTGCCGAGGTCGCGGTACCTCATTGCGCTTACCCCGCAACCTCGGCTGAACATCAGCCCTTTACCGTCTGTGGTGGTCGAATAGCTCTTTGAGGCGCGCGCCGAACGCTACGCGCCGTACGCTCGGGCCTGGTTCTGGTCGGGCGGCGAGAGGAGGAGGATTGCTCCCTCACGTTATATGTGGGTTATCATGACATGCTCTTTAATTATGTATGGTGCTTATATAGTATCATCAAGTATCATGGTTTTTTCTACGAGCTGACTTATAAGCAATGGGAGGAGAATCAGGATCGGGGTTTTGGGGATCGAGGGTTCAGAAATTATGGTCCTCCGGTACCTACGGTGAAACAACGCCAGCATTGTTTCACGACACAAAACCAGCGAATAGCTTTACTAAAAGGACTGACCGACAGACTGACACTTTACATATACCTATCTTTATATTTTGTTTGAAGTTCAAAAGTGCATGTAAGGGTCTAATTGAAATAAATGATTTTTTACTATTTTTTCACAAATGTGTCGGCTCGACTGCAGTGATACCACGGCCTCACCTCGACCGGCGTGAAACAACTACAACGTTGTGTTCCGCTGTGTGAGTGAGGTTACCGTTGACCAATTCTTTCCCCTTCCCCAATCCCAAAATCTACAAATCACTAATCCTATCTATTATAGTTGGCGATTCACTCGTAGGTAACTCCTCCGTTGTTGCGGGTGTCCACAATCCACGGGTGGCGCTGATTGCTTACCATGAGGTAATCTGTCTGCTCGTTTGCCGACCTATAATTTTTAACATAAAAAAACTTGTTGTATTTCGCCTATAACTGAGGGTTCCGTAGTTACGCGTGATCATGGTGGTATCGACCAAATGTTTGACGAGAAAATTCCTAAAGAAAAAGAAAATTCAAAATATTTTATACCAAAAAACCGACTTTAAAAAGTAAACTAAAAAGCAAAAAAATAATTTTCTTTGTACAAAGTAATACATGTTTTCATTTAGGTAAATAGAAAATTATATTAATAACTATTTTAATCTAATCTTTTTTTCTTTTTAGTTTACTTTTTGAAGTCTGTTTTTTTTGGTAAGCGTTACAACGAATGTCTTACCCAATTGGTTGTTAGAAAAATATTAATAAAGTTATAAAGACATCGACAAGATTTTTCATTAACAACCATCTAAGCAATAGTTTAATTTTGAGTAGGTATGTTAATCACAAACACAGTCGCTAAAAAGTACTTATCAATAGTAGTTTGTATTACCTATATTTTGATTAAATCAGAACCACCAGGTAAACCCACGAAATAAACTTTTAAAATTATACAAACCTACCTATATTAATTTCCAATCAAGAAACATTAGGTATCTACTTAGATAATATGACTGAAATCCAAACTTATAATAGAAAGATGGTGGCAGTTTCTTCGCACACACACACACACACACACACATTTCCGCTGTCTCTTTTGTTTTTTCTAGCAAACATGTCGGTGAGTTGGAGTCTCCATCTGCCATAATAGGTACAGGCTACTTACGTGTATTAAATTGGCAGATTAGTTAGTTACAACCTTAGTTCTTCCATGGCCCCCCATTATCTATTCCTGTCTATAATAACCTTCACCCAGCCTTTTCTCTTATTCCTACAATACGCAATAGTTTGACACTAACAGACTGTCCTTGGGTGCATTTCCATAGTGCTTATAGGGATGTCGTGGTGGCCCGGAGGTCAAGGAGCCCGCTTCTCATACATAGGGTATGGTGGGTGGGTGTGGGTTCGAAACCTGGCAAGTACCAATGTGACTTTTTCCATGTTATCTATATGTACTTTCTATGATTATTTTGACACACACACTGACATACGATGAAGGTACACATCATGAGGAAACCTGGACTAATAATTTCTAATTATAAGTTTAAAATCGCCAACCCGCATTGAGCAAGCGTGGTGATTAATGCTCTAACCTCTCAGTGTGAGAAGAGGCCTTTGCTCATCAGTGGGCATCTCTGGCTCTGATGATGAAATAGGGATAGTCGCCAGTGTGTGTCTCAATTCATTTAGATTATAGTTATCTACAGGACCTTTTGGCAGCTGACTTCGGCCCCTCATACCTCTCCTAAATAACCGGCACCCTGTGTTCCCGTGATTACTCCTCGATAATGGAATCTGAAGAGTTTGTCTGTTAATTTAAGTAGATACGCTAATCTCCAGAACTACGTGTGTGAAATGAACAATTATTTTTGTGTTTTTAGTCTTTTTATCGAGAAAGGCTAGGTATTCGGCTATAAAAATGAGCTGAACAACAGGAAGAACTGAGGAAACCGCGTGGGTTTAGTTAGTTTTCCTATAAATTCTACCACAAATTGTAATTGGTGAAATAAGTTAGATAAGTGCTATGCTGGTAATAGCCACCTGATCCTACCTTCTGATCTTCTTTAGGCTCAGATGAATCTTCATGATCCATCTGAGCCTTATCTGCTTCTATTCTTTGGTTAGAAGTAATCCATCTCATCATCATCTTCGTCATCATATCGTCATCCGACCTTTTCTTTACTCCACAGACTTTGAAGGACTGGATTTTTACCAAAATATACCTAAAATATTTAAGGAAATGTCAAGTGTAGGTATGGACTGTTATCTAAATAGGCACTATTGTTAGTTTTATCAAAAATTTTGTATTTGATTGATAGCACGTATTTATTATCTAAGTAGTATGTAGTATAATTTTCAACTACCTACCTAAGTACTTGAAACAGCCTATTTCAATGAGATGTTACATAAACTTATCACGTCAGACACTAACTCTTGACTGGACAGTTGACGCATGGGCACCTGGCTCCTGTGCAACGTGTCCTCGCTAACCTGCACGGAAAACTTCGTGTGATCCACAATTTGTTGTTCCGAGTATGGGTGTCATGCATACGCATTTTGTTTTTGGTTAGGTACGCGCAAGGTCAGCAGAGGGGCAGAACGGTTTACCTGATGGTAAGCCATCAACGCCGCCCATCGACACCAGCAAGACCAGAGGAGTTACGAGTCTATTTATTGCTGGCCGTTTGTGGATTTCACTCATACGGCGAAACACAACGCTGTGGTTTTTCATGCCGGTTTTCTGTAAGGCCTTGGTAACACTCCGGTCGAGCCAACCCATTCGTGCCGACGCTTGAGTCTCCCACACTTGCTGTTTGTTTGTAAACGCACTTACGACACAGGAGATAATACCAGAGAAAGGGAAGATTTAAAAAAAAAACAGAATAAGTATCATTCATCATCAGCCTATACCTCAATGAATGACGAAAATAAGAAATATAGTAGAAATAACAGTACCTATGCCAATAAAGTTTTAATACTTAATCTCAGAAAATAGGTTTATTTATTTGTTTAATATTTATTTAATTTCGTTCAATGAATTAAACCAGAGATATTTTTAGGTATATGCAGTTCATAAGTATTTCAATCCTCCTGTATTCG